CTATGAACCACAGAGGTCGAAGTTGGTCACATAGTCCATAATGGTGAGATGTGATAACTTATGTAGGTCGCAGAAGATGGAGCCAGGAGCTGCATGAGCTGTGAGCTACATAGGACATAACTGGTTGCATAAGTCATACTACTAAACTGTGATGTCGTCTGCAACAACAGAGGCCAAAATCAGGATCTGTACAAGCTATGAACCATGTAGGCTATAATTGTTCACATATGTCTTAGTGGTCGGTTGCAAGGAGAGAGCTTTAGGAGTCTAGATAAATTCACTGCCTTTTGGGTGCATTTTTACTCCTCCTTTGAGTGACATTATTGCATCATATGCGGGGTGCGTCGTTACACCATCATTGAGGTGTGTGTTGCATTATATATGGGGTGCATTGTTGCACCATATTTTAAGCACATCATGTATTATATTTATGGTGTGTTGTTACACCATCTTAGGGGTGCATTGTAGCATATTATACTAGACGACATATTGCTCCTTCGAGTGCTTAACCATGTCATAAAGCATGTTGGAATTTTGTAACACACGTTGTGACTCCAAATGGGAATTCTTTTCAAGAAGCATGTGGTGGCCAACGAGTGGTGGTTGACGGTAATCAACAACTGCAGGAGTAAAAGGAATTCACCAGATTTTTGGTGGAGAAATGTTGATCTTCAACTCCTTCTTCTATGGGCTCCAATCTTTTTTTTTAGCTCCAGGTCTAGGTCTCCTCTCAAAAGGAGGGTAAAGCCCTATTTATAAAGTCTGAGAGAGGTCTCTCTGCAAATAAGGATGGACTTCAGACCATTCCATCAGATGGTCTGGATAGATTCCTTCAATTGAACGACATTCAAAGAACATATGAATACTTTATTGACGTTAGAATTAAGTGATATTTAGCTCATTTGATTCGTCTCGTTGAGACACTCAATTTGATTATAAGCTTGTTAGATTTGGAATCAATTTGACCTTCCAAATACATATTAAAAGCTTCCAAAGTGGTTTAACGACATGATTTGGACTTGATTTGACTCAGATTGGACCAATTTTGGTATCACCAAAGTGGTTTAACAACATGATTTGGACTTGATTTGACTCAGATTGGGCCAATTTTGGTATCATTAGGTGGACTGTTTGATCGAGTTGGTCAATTTTACTATAAGTTTGCTAAAATCAAAGTTGTGGTTTATTTTTAATTGTTGTTTGAACATTTTTTGCTCAAAAAATTTGTTTCAAGATTCATTTCATGCCTCGAGATTCATGTCAAATGATAAATTAGTTGATAATGTGTCAATAATCAAGAAAAAATTAACAAATATTGGATTCTTTGATAAAAAATTTAATTGACCCATATATATCTTTGATTAATGAATTTATTTTAGTCAAACTAAATTAACTGATTTAAGATTATTTTATGCTTAGAAAGAAGTTAATAGAAGAAGTGTTAAGTTATTAGGAATTAATGAAAACTCAATTCTTTAATGTTATTTGCACACTTTTATAAGATATTATAAAATTTTGTTAAAAAATAAGAAAATTCTAAGATGAGAACTACTAAGTAATTCAACTGAGTTTAATTTTAGATATAAGATTATTTGAGGTGTAGTGTAAATATGATTTGAAGTGTTGTCCTTTGTTCCACTTTTATATAATATGTGATATTGATTGGTAGATTAGGGGGGGAATTGACGAATATGTGACTAAATCATCAGAGTTAGCTCCCAGGCATCTAATAGGGGTGGTTGAAATGTGCAAAATATAGAGATGACATAATGAGGGCACAAGTAACTCGGTGCCATAAAATCCAACACCCCGGCGCTCCAATGCTATAATTTAGATATCTCCGCGCTTGTTGATCAACACCTAGGTGCTAGGTCCCAATGCCCTTGTGCTAGTAGTCCCATGCTCAAGCACCCAAATGTGCAAGATTATGGTTTGTGAAGTTTCCTTGTCATTGTTTTGTGTCTAATGGGTTAAATTGGAGGGAGACTCATAAAATCCAACACCCCGACGCTCCAATGCTATAATTTAGATATCTCCGTGCTAGTTGATCAGCACCTAGGTGCTAGGTCCCAACGCCCTTGTGCTAGTAGTCCCATGCTCAATCACCCAAATGTGCAGGATTATGGTTTGTGAAGTTTCCTTGTCGTTGTTTTGTGTCTAATGGGTTAAATTGGAGGGAGACTAAGGCCAATGGGGGTGGATGAAAAAGAGAAGCGAAGTTATCACATTTTATTTCACCATTTAGTGATTAGGATTTATTTAGTATGAGTGAACTTGGATGAGAATAAGAAGAAATTTGCAAATAAGTTAGTGCTTGCACTTTGGAGATCAGTGCAAGGGAAAAATCACTGTGAAGGGAGGATTTTAGTGTAATTCAAAGAAAAATAACTCTGATTAGACCATTCTTTTCTTGTAAACACTTATCTTATGGTTTTCATGGTTTTCTCATTAATTTCTTCAAATATGAGTGGTAGTTAAGTGTTTTCATGCTTCTGTGGTAATGTGATGAATCATATTTTTTCATAAATTTTGTCTGATGTTTCCATGAAATAATTTGATGTTATTGTGTTATCCTTTCAATTATTACTTTACTTTCAATATGACCAACTAAAATGTTAAAATTCCTTGTGATCCAGTACTTATGACCGTAGCCTAGAAAAAAAGTAGGATAACAGAAAATTACCTAGTGTAATATGAATATTATTAGTAGAATTTCTAGGAAACTTTGTATGGTTAAGCTAACTTAACTGTAATATGAGTTTACAATGTTTCTTATGGCCTTATTAGGGGATAAGGAGAATTTGTCAATGGCTGATAACATTAGTTTGGAAATTAATTAAAAAAATATCGAGGATTCACATGAGTATGGTTTTCATTTGCATAGTCAGAAAAATCCTAATCTAATTCCATAGGACATTATTTTTTGCAATTTAGGATCAGTAACTTTCTAAGCCTAGACCTTTCAAGCTAGACTAGGGAAGAAACTAGTTTATTTCTAGGTGGTACGTAGATAGTAAAATTTAATTTTTGCACTTGTGTAATTTTGGCAATTTAATAATTTTTCCATACCCCCTCAATATACATAGTTTTCTAAATAATTAAAAAAAAATAAACATTTGATGATTTTACTCACCTTAAAAATAATGTCGGTTCCGCCCCTAAGCTTGACTTAGTATCAATAAACTAGAATTTTGACTCTTTGAAAAATTAATAAGTGAGATTGATACATAAACTCAAATCTTTGTATTACTTGAACGACACATATACTTGCATAATTGTCATACGTTTCACAACATACCTTACACCAATCATTCATAACACAATAAATCATTACATCATAAAAAAGAAAATTTTAAGAAAATGTTCTCAAATCAACACAACAAGTTGATCTTTGCTTATTTCTTATAATGATTTTTTTTGTATGCATCCTGCTCTAACAAAGGATTTGTCAGAGTTGGTGGTTCATCAAGAAAGTCGCAAACAACCCTTAAGAAAATTGGAATAGAACCTAAAATAAATTCATTGTAAATTATTTGGGCAAAGTTTTTAGTTGAAGGAGTCAATAAATAAGTATGCTTGATTAGTGGATCACTAGTTATAACCTTGGAATTACTCATGAGAATATCAATATGACTAACTATCATAATATCATTATTGCGATGACTATGTCAATTTTCTTCACTTCTTGTCATATCTATGACAAATCTTATTTATCAGTCAGCCACAATGATTTTTGTATTCATATTTTAAAAATATATTGAAACAAATCTCAAATTTATTACTAGCTTTTTTTAGTTTATGACTTTTCTTATGATGTCTAAATCTCTTATCTAAACCTATAAATAATGGGTCAAAACTGAGGCAAGAAACTGTATATTTGAATGATCTAAAGAAGTCCCAGAGTCTCACATTTTAGATTTCCTAGATCATTGGCGCTCTCTCCATCTCATGTTTTTGTGTGCCTTGTTAATCTTGCAATTAAAAAAATTGACAACTCTAAGTTATCTAACTTGTATGGTAACCATGAGTAATGTACATAGATCTTGACTAATTATGAGTCAAATATAATTTTAGTGGTCTTTAGAAAAAATAGTTAATATTCATTTAAATTTTAATAATTTACATTTATTTGTTTCGAAATTTACATATTCGAATTAAATCCTATTGTGCTTAAACCCAGTTACAGCTGTCGTTGTTCGCGAACAACTCGTATTCAACTCGTTAAGAAGTTTGTGTTCGGCTTGTTCGCTAACTTAATGAGCCGAACACGAACAAAGATTTGTTCGTTCGTGTTTGGCTCGTTTTGGTTTGAAATACTACTCATTATATGTATATATATATATATAGGATTTTTTTTGCAACA